CAGAAGCACAAGAGTTGTAAAGCATGGCTCTGCCATCACTACATTTTAAGTCCTCAGTTGTCTCCCAACCCTCCACAGATGGTACCTTCTGCTCCTCACCAGCCAAGGGTCACTACCTCTGCCTGCTGGCTCCTGCACAGCTGTAAATAAACAATTGCCTCTGAGTATCCTTCTAGTGGCTCATCAACTGGATGGCAATCACTGCTCCAGGAAAGTGCCTTCCAACAGTCTGCACTGATTGCTCTGCTTTTGGAGGATGATGAGTAGCTCTGCTTCACCCCCAATCAGCCAGCAACAGAATCATCCAGGAACTGATTCAGCAGGTAAACTTCTAAACTACATAAGCTAGATGTCAATTAGTTTTAATTAAGTCCAAAATAAATGACCTGTGAACACAACATTTTTTTTGCAGCCCTTGTTTTCTGTAAGGAACTCATTTCTGTTGCCAAGAGCTCAGCTGAATCACAACACAAGTAATGAACAATCAGCAAAAATAAATATGGTTTTGTAAATGCACTGAGGTATGTTCAGCAAAGTTGATTAAGGGAAAAATAATCAAACAAACATCAATATTTAGGACAGCAGAAGTGCTTGAACATTCTAGAGGTGTTTTACAAAAAACAAAAAATCCAGGTATTTTTTTCTGGCAGCAGCTGCTTTTCAAAACCACAAACTATACCCCCAATCTGTCTTTCTTCCAGCCCTCAGTTTCAATGTTCTTCCTCAGAAGGTGAAGAAAGATATCACTGAGTTTTCCTCCATTATTTTGTCCACCTCTAACATCTGTAAGCTTGTCTATACACCTGCTAGCTAGCTAAAACCAGCTGTACTCCTTTTGATGTCCCTTCAAGTGGCAGCATGCACAGATTCTCGGAAAGGAGAGTGTCATGACCTCCTGAACTCATTACTCACCTTTTCACTTTGGCTCTCCTTCTGTGGAGTTTTTCTTTTCTTCCATTTTTTCTTTACTCAAATATTTCATTTATTTATTCAGCTCTAAAGTCATCTGAAAAAAGATCAGGCTCTGCAAAATCAATTACATTTGCAGCCCACTGGACACTAGCAGGACCTCACCACTGCAAATGTGTTTGGCTCTCATTAGTTTAACATGTCAACAAGCCCTCTCCTCCAGTTGTACGGGCTCAGCTGTCTTTAAAGGTATAAAAATAAGTACTTCTTGCTGCTCACTGAAAACATATTGGGCTGAAGGTGAGGATGAACACAAAGAGTACCAGAAGGTGCCATTGTCATTGTATTCATTCCCTACACAAACCCCAATGGTGAGTGCTGCTATCTACAGTAAGCAACTAAAACTGAAGTTTCAATAAAATTCACCTGTGCCAGGGCAGGAAGAAGGAAAGTAGACACTGGGCAGACAATGTTTTTTGGTCAACACCTAAATGGGTAAAGGGAGAAATGTCAGTGGCACCACACCAATTTTTAAAGCATTTTAGGTTCTGTCCCACAGCTTTGGTTGAGTACTGCCTGCTAGGGCAGAGACCACCATTAGGAGACTTGAAACTGGCCAAGCAGACTTGAAAGCAGGCATTTTCCTCAATGACCCATTCAGAAAGCACCGGCTGAACTGAGGCAAGGCCCATAACCATCAGTCCTTTAGTGGTACCAAACCACCACTCTGGAAACCAGCACAGAAATTCACAGAGCAACTGCTTTAATTTCTCTTATTAACTAGCACAGCAATATATTATTGTGAACAATGAACCTTAGCACTGGTCCTTACAAACACGTCCTAACACAGTCACAATTTACCTCTAGCTGTCCCTAGCAGTTGCTGATAAATGTGCCATGTTGCCAAAAGAGCGTGAAAATCCAAATAGTTTGGGTATTTTTACAGTAACTACTACCTAGCTGCCTATATTAATTGACAGAGTGAGCACATTATATAAGGAGATTAGACCATGTCATATTTACAACCTCAGAGTCCCCAGTGAGAGAAATTGCTCAGCTGTTACTGTCAGTGCCTTCTTCAAACAGGAACCCTGCTGACAAGATGATGAATTCAGAACATCATTGCCAATTAATGATTTGTAGGCAGAAGGGATTTCAATAGCTCCCATATGTTTGTGAGGATGACTGGGATTTACATCACCTCTAATAAAAGAGTGTAGTCTGCTCTGTCCAGACGTGACACTAGAGATTGGAAAATGCCATCTTTGCAGTGGAAATTTTAATAAACAAAGCCAGGCTCTTCTGGGTTGAAAATGTTTCCCAAAGCATGGTGATGAAAAACCTGCTTACTAAGTGAAAGCAAACTGGGAGACCACTTGGGAGATCACCCAAGTGATTTACAAACCAAAGGTCAGAAGTTATTTAGGTGTTTGTGAAAGCTACACAGCAGAGTGCCAAGACCACCATTATGTCAGCCAGGAGCATGGAGTGCATTTCCTTAGCATCAATCAGACCGTGGAAAAAAAGTTCAGCATTTACAAATACATAGGACCTTTCCTGGTGTTACTTACTCTGCTCAGGGATGCAAAGTTTAACTTCACTGTCCTAGAAGACAGTCTCATCTTAGTGAATGTAACAATAACCAAGCCAGAAAGTGTTTTACTCACAGGGGATATGGACATGAACTCCCATACATGCTGGATACAGACCTCCTGACCTGCCTAAGGCTGAATGCCTCCTATCAACAGAGCATCTTGGAGCCAACCAGCAGGGAAAACTTGGCACAATGACCTGGGTTAAACACAGGTCATCCAAATGGGGCCCTCAAACTGAATTTGCCATAGGCACTCAAGTCCCATTGATTTGGTGATGGAATTTAGGGCTATCCCACAAAGAAAAAGAATTACTGTTTTTAACACCTCTAGAGCAGTAAAGTGATAAAAATCCTGTCGGGAGTGCAGGCTGCAGGTGAGGTAAAGAGCAGTTTATGTGGATATACCTTAGGAACAGGGCAGGGATAAACCACCACAAAGCATCTTTACACATCCTAATTATGATCACAGCCCTACCCAGCACAGTCATAAATTGAGAGGCCACATACTGTCCTCCTAAGAAAAACAAATTAAAAAAAACCAACAACCTACACCCAAAACCAGAAAGCACAGCCTTTAATCACTAAGGTCTTCTGAAATGCTGTCTCAACACTGCAACCTCTCTACAGGCAGCCCAGCTTCTTCAATTATAGTCTCAGGTTTCTGATTTAGGTCTGTATTTTTTGGGTTTGGTTCATACTTTTTTTTTTTTTTTTTTTTCTAATGGTTTTTTTTTGGGTTTTTTGGTTGGGGTGTTTTTTTGGGTTGTTTGGTTGGGGTTTTTTTTGGGGGGGGGGATTTTTTTGTTTGGTTGGGGTTTTTTGTTTGTTTTTTTGTTTCTCTATGAGACCCCTAAGTGTGCTTTGAGAAATGTAGCATCAGAGGACAGGACTTCAAGACTTGAAGGGTGACTAATAGAGGACTCCTTTCCTCCAAAAATTCTAGACCTAGCACCAAACTTGTGTCTTGTCGTTTTGTGCCATGGTATTTTCAGCTATAATTAAGCAAAACCTTGCTGATCTATCAACCAACATCCCTTGTCTGTGGCAGTCTATATTTCCTCAACTTGGAATAATGTTGATCTTAGCCCCCCCATTGTACAGCAGTCTCTTCTCCCCCCCCTAAAAGGAGAAACATCTTTATTAGCACAGGAAAAGCAAAACCAAGACAGATTTTGCTGTATTGACTACATCTGTTGAAAAAGAAGACTATTCTGGTCAAAAATACCACTCCACGTGCTGTTTAGTAGGGGCTTCTCCAACACAAACATTTCTCTCAAACGTAACATTTTCTCTCCATGTCAACCTTTGAAGCGATTTGAACTATCTTCAGGGTCACGAGCATGTGACCGAGGACTAGAGGATCAAGACCACAGTTTGCTGTGGATATGCACTGATCTATTCTTTGTACTACACTACAAACAATAATCAGTGTCTGGAGTGAGGTGAAGACAAAATGCAACACAGACTTCAGCTGAAGTGGAATTCCTCTGCCTTCCCCACAGTATCTATTACAATCTATTATTAAGTGGCTGCAAAGACAAGCCAACTGAGATGGAACTGGTAAGCAATATATATTAATTTTGCAAAGAGCAGACTGTATTGAAATCATTGTTTACCTTCTCTTTTGCAAGCAAATTAGTTTTAGGCTACCTGCTACATATTTACAACAGAAGGGCAAATTTTATAAACAAGCATGTAATACAGCAAAACCATAAAATGAGATTGTACTCGTTGTACTGATTGACTCAGAGTACACTGCTGTTCTTTGTAAGTATTCTTTTTAAGGTCTTAAGCTTTAGATACCCAGATCTCTTGCACAAGGCCTCTGATGATTCAGGAGATCTATGCTGACCAGCAATCTGGGAACCTCAGCCAGCTACTTGTGGGAAAACTTCAGCACATATGGAAGCATTTTTATCAGTGGGCCTTTAAGTTTAACTCTGAACAGCTGAGCAGCTTTGTATTAAATTATTTACCAGAGAGGAAAATCAATCAACTCACACCACATCAAATACCCAGGCCCCCACAGAGTGATAAAGACAGAAAAACACACTCCTCCAAATACAAAAACAAAATGCTTCTTCTATAGAGAGATTAACTTCAAACATTCCCTGGTATTGTCCCCAAAAAAAAAGAAACCAGGCTTCTAAGACTCATAAGGAAACCCTGATATGGGGGAAAAATAACATAAATCTTTAAATAACAGATAAGACTACAATTGCCTCATGGACCCAGTGCTCCAAAGGCAACAGAAGAATGCCAGATTCTCCTTGTTGGCAGCTCTGTAAACAGCAGCTGCACATAGGTGTCAAGTGCCACGACATCCAGCCCAGGCCTCTGTCTTCCTGCTCTAACACTTCACAAAGGACCTCAGTGGAAGTGAGAACCTGACCCACCACTGTCAACTCAACCAGGCACAAAAACATGGAAGAGAAGAAAGCCCAGACTGCACACCACCTCGGAAGCTCAGCACAGCACCCTCCCTGCAAACCCTTACCTTGGCAGGTGTTGTTCTTCTCCTCATAGCCTGCCTTGCACAAGCACTTCCCGATGGGCACCAGCCATTCCCCCTCCGCACTGCAGTGCATCTTGGGTGCCTCCTCAGTCACCGAGTGGTTGATGCAGACGCCCGACACCTCCAGGAGCTGCGAGGAATCTGCACCCGTGATGGTGTCAGGGAAGCGGGCCAGGTTGCGGATCACCGACGGGCACTTCTTGTAGTACACGCGCACGGAGACCAGGGCGATGCAGGCACCCACGTCCTGGAAAGCCAGGTAAAATCCCTTCTTTGTCAGGGGCCCCACGTCTCTCACCTCCGTGTTGAGCTTCATCACTCTGTCGCCAAGGTCTAACTCTGTGAAGCTCTCATCAGCAGCAATGGTATCAATCTTGATGTACTGGTTTTCTTTGATGTTCCTCCCATCTTCATCATCGGACTCAAAGTAGTACATGTTGAAAGTCTCCTTGCAGGTCCCAAGTCCTCCTGGAAGGCTGTTACAGTCCCTCAGGGTGAATTTGAGCTCAATGAAGATGCGGGATGCCCCCTCATTGGAGATCCAGCTGGTCAGAAGCCAGTTGTTCTGATTCTGTTCCATTACCTTGCATACTTGGTATGTGTGTATCGGAGCGTAGTTTTCATCCACCTCACCAATTTCTTCCCACTGTATAAAAAGGAAAAGTATTTGTTAAAACAGTCACAACTCTTAGCTTTGCCATCTAAAGAGCATCTTGGGCTTCAGAACTCAGGACTTTCAGGGGAAAAAATGTTTTAATTGCCAAGCTTTCTGTACTAGAGGCTTGATACATTCCTGGTAAAGTCAGATAAATGATCCTTTATAAATAGAAAAGGATGCTAGTTAAAACCCTTTGTTTTAGACAGTTCAAAAGTGGGAAAACATATTGCTGGGTTTGTCCACTACTATTCAGTTAGGAAACAAAACAAAAGCAGATGGGGCCATTTCTGTGAGCTTTTCCAATGCATCCACGGTTCGTCTGTCCCCATGCCCCCAGGCTCCTTTCTATCACATCCTCAAATCACTGCCCCACATAACGAAAACCACACTTCTACAAGCTATGCTCCCCCACCAAACAGCACGCCAGAAAATCAGTGGAGTGATACACAAAAGAAATGAGCCTTTGCTATCCCCAAGTGCACTAGTCAGCGTAGTTCTTGCTCATGCAAAGAGAAGATTACTTCCAATACAGGTTACAGGGATCTGCGAATCTTCAGCTGTTTATGTGCTACACAGGCTTTTAATCAGAGCTTCAGGCAACTTTCTGCAGCTTTGTGGGAATTGCAGCAACTGTTTGTTCATTTTATTTTAGCCATGCTCTGAAGGGCATCACTTGGAAGAAATGCTTTTTCCTGGTGCAGCTCAGAGTCAGTAGCATCACAACTGTGCCTACAACAGATACATATTAGCATTTCCTCTCTACTTTTGATGACCCCAGTGTTGCATTAAAAGATTAAATTAACCATCTTAGTGCAGCAAAGAACCCAGGAGAGCCAGTGTTGGTTTCAGTTTTGTTCCCTTCTACTTTTGACCCACTCATGTGCCACCCAAGACCTCCTCCATGCAGCTGTTCATGCAGCACATAGGAAATGCACAGAGTGTAATGCAAAGGTACTGCCATTTAAATCTGCATATCTTCTAAGGGCCAAAGCCAAACCTTTTCCTTGGAAATACAGCCTGAGATAAAGTTGAGAGTGTTCTCAGCCCAGATGCTATTACTGCAGAGCTGAGATAGAACACCCTCAGAGTCAATGTAACAATGAAGATTTTTTAAAAAATGAAATGTTCTTACATTTTAAATTAAAACAGCAGCAAGAAGTGACATGAGAACATAACCTGACGGTAGTCAATAACGAATTACAAACATCACCATCAGAAAAACATTTCTTCTCCTCCCTACCTTGGGATGTGAAAGCGGGGACTTGTGCAGGAAGGCATCCCCACTGTGATGGGCAGTTATATGCACCACCGGTCTTCTAAGTAAGGAACCTAACCCAAAGACATTTTTGCCATGGCAAGCAGTACTTTCATTTGTAGCCCTTTTTTGTGTCTCTGGGCTTAAACAGGCCACAACTCTGATTAATTGTCACAGGGGAGCACCACAGAATTGGACAAAGACATGGCTACAGTGAAAGCCAGGCAGATCTGCACAGGACTCATGCCTAACATTAGGAGAGGCAATTAACAATTACCAGGAGAGTAACTGAGAAAAGATAAAACTATGCAACATAGAATAATTCAGCAGCTAGACTTTGTAAGTTCCAGTAAATAGGAAGGTTTTGATATATGAAATTAAAAGCAGAAAAACACCATCCTTCAACTAGCATGGTTAATTTGAGTAATAAATATACTGTACATCTACACTTCCAAGTGAATTTGTGTAACATTGTACTAGCTTCAGCTAGGATAGAGTTAAACCTCTTCATAGTAGCTCATATGGGGCTACCTTTGGGATTGTGCTGGAAACACTGTTGATGACACAGAGATGTTTCAGTGACTGCTGAGCAGCACTTACATCAGTCAAGGCCTTTTCTGCCTCTCAGCCCATCCCACCAGCAAGGAGGCTAGGGGTGCACAAGAAGCTGGGAAAGGACCCACCTGGGATAGCTGATCCACCTGGCTCAAGGGATATTCCAGACCATATGGTGTCATGCTCAGCACATACAACTGGGGCAAGAAGAAAGAACTGGGGACAGGAAGAATCATGGCATTTGCTTTTGCAAGTCACGGGTGAGGAAGCCTCACTTTGATGGGGATAGCTGAACACCTGCCTGCCCATGGGAAGTGGTGTTTCCAAGGAATTTCTTGGTTTACTTTGCTTGTGTGTGTGGCTGTTGCTTTACCTATTTTAGAGTCTTTCTCTCAACCCATGAGTTTTCTCACTTTTTCCCTTCTGATTTCTCACTCATTCCCTGCAGGGGAAGTGAACGAGTGCCTGTGTGGCGCTTAGCTGCCAGCTGGGGTTAAACCACCAGAGTTCTTTTTGATGGCCAGTGTGGGGTTGAAAGGGTTTGAGATATAATGACAGGTTTGATCTGAATGTGCTAGACTCAAGTTATAGCTGTTATTGTTGTTGAGCTATTCATTGCCTGGCTCCTGGGCTTGCCATGGGGCTTGATTGCCTCGCTGCACACTAAAGCCTGGTGCTTATTAGTGGCTGCTCCTTGGTTCTGCTGCTTGCTGAACTGCTGACCATCTTACTCTGCTGGGCCTGGCAACATCTTGATGTTAGACAAAGCACCATGATGGCAAATACCCAGGCCATCACTGATGTGTCTGTGATGCCCCACTGGATATGCTGGAACTGCAGTGTGAACTCAAGTTGACAGGAGTGCAGCCTGGGGATTAGTCCACATGGGAGAGCAGCCCTAAGCAGCTGTGGACGCATTCATGCTGGAGCAGGTGCATCTCAAAGCAGCTGTGGCTGAGGTTATGTCAGTGTTACAGCAGGTACACCCCTGAAGAGACTGTGGCACATAGATAAGGCTCCACTTTGAGCAGGTAAAATTACCTAAGGGACTGAAGTCTGTGGCTAAGTCCAAAAAAGGAGCAGGGGCAATTAGAGGAGTTAATTGCATCATTACCCCAAATGGTCTGGTCCATGGATAGAGACTGTAATGAAAATGCCACCCTGCTTACCTGGAAATGGCTGAACACCCGCCAACCCACAGGAGTGGTAAATTAATTCCTTGGTTTGCTTTGCTTGTGCATGCAGCTTTTACCCTACCTATTGTAGTATCTTTATCTCAAGTCATGAGTTCTCACTTTTACCCTTTTGATTTTCTCACTCACTGGTGGGGAGTGAGAGAGGGGCTGTGTGGTGCTTAGTTGCTGGCTGGGGTTAAAGCATGACGCTATATAAAGGTGAAGTCCTAATTTCAGGTGGTAGGGATTCTCCATTTGATGAAAAGGGAGAGTAACCCTCCACTCCCCCCAATCCACAGAGAGGTCCCTGACAAACCAGCCCAGGGGACAGATAAGCACATCCCAATATAGCCTAAGAATGACACAATGACTTTAACTTTGCTTTTTTCTGGCTGAAGGTCAGAAGATCACTCAAGTAAGTGCTCACACCAACAAGCATACACAAGTAAGTGTTAACTTCCAGCAGGAAGTGGTGCAAAGCATCTCAAGACTGGAAATGGCTCAGAGCAGTTTTATCACGTGGAGATGTTTATGGATGGCCACAAGGTCCACAGTAAAACGCTGTACACCATCTAAAGAGCATTAACATGTATTTCTTTCATAGAGTTGACATTTACAATGACTGTGATGTTGCAGTAATATCATTACCGACCTAACTTGAAGGTATGCTGAAAAACATCGCTTGACTTTTTTCATACTTGCCAGGTCAATTTTCAAGGACCCAACCGTGGCACTCCCCAGAGTTACGCATTTAAGCTCATTTCCACCTCTGCTTCAGGAGCTGTGCTTTTGGGAGTGAGTACAAAGTTCATTTGTTGAAAAACTAAGTGCAGTGATTCTAATGGTTGCTTTCATGCACTGAGAGCACTAAACACCATGAGGATAAAGGTCCAAGCATAAATACATCAATGAACTGTGATAGAGTCTTATCTCAGCTGCAAGAAATGGCACACGGCCTAACATCTCGGGCTTCCAGATGTGCTGCACTTCCAGTACTGCTCCCCAGATCAGAGCAAATCCTGTCATCACCACCTGCCATCAAACCTAAAGCAATCATCAGAGCATGAGAAAGGGGAGGTGCTAATGAGCTAAGGCTGCTTATCTCTGTATAATCCTCAAGGGAAAGTCAACCAGATTTTATCAGAGCAGCCAGTATTGTGCAAAATCTCTGCTCTATCATTTAATCTTCTTCTCCCCTATCTGCATGTAGGACTACACCATTTCTTTCTCTTCAGCTGGATCTGCCTCCCCCCAGAGACTGCAGGCAAGCTGCCACCCTTCTGTTTTTACACCCCTCCACGAGATGGAGGTGGCAGTAAGAGCCCCTGCACCCTCTGCCTGGTCCCAGCCTCCTAGTCACTAGAGACCTCAGAGAAGTATTTCAGCCAACAAAGAAACACGAACCACAGGATAAAATGCAGTGCCTTACAGTTAATGAGAAAGAAATCCCACCACATTAAAGAGACAGCATCTAGATGAAAATTATTGGCATGAAAAAAAATTAAGTACAACTGAAAAATTGTGTAATGCTATAATTCCTCTCTGCAACACATATTTTTTGATATATAAATCAACCCCATCTGCAGGATTAAAACAAAAGTGCAACCATTAATTTGGTGGTAAATGTTTTCTCTACATCTTTAATAGCCCTAAGAAGGAAAACACAAATGCATTTCAATGGCCTGATGTTAAATCATTTATAGAAGACCTATTTCTGAATCAGAAATTTCCAGCCCACTACTGCTGGCGAGGGAAAATGCAGCTCCATCAGTTCATACAGGCTGTCTGTCTAGAGAAAGGCCAAAGATATCACACATCTAACTAAAGATATAAGAGTTAAAAAAGCATTCAGTGGAGCAGCCTTGGGTTAAATGGACAATTTTAAAACACATTCACCAGCTGTCTGCTACTCAGGCTTGTTTCTAATCTCGGAGATTCCAGGAGTGCAATTTGCTACCACAGCACAGTGAAAGGCTGATGCCCCAAAACTAAATACTGACAGC